ATACATTTCCTTATAACAGGACACCACAGAAACCAAGTTTGGGCTACCTGTGGTTGGGTGTAATGTTTTTTCATTTCAGACAAACAAAACAAACATGCTGGTGTGAATGACGTCAGCGTTTTCAAAAGCCTCCGTTTTCTCTGGTCACACTGATTGCTGAGTTTCAATCAGCTGATAAAAGTCTTTGAATCTCATTATCTTCTTTACGATAGACCTCCGTTTTCAAAATGTCTCCACTCTAGTGATAACTGGGAGAGCCTGATACTCGGGTTACTCTGGAGAAGAATCCTGTTCCCAAGAGAATGACACGTGTTCTAAAATGGGAGAACATTACGCCTAACCAGGTGATCTCGTATTGACAGCCAATCATCGTACAGGAATAAAATTTGATAGGGCGGTCCAGCGAAAAAAGACATGACGACTTATATAATGAATCCCTGTGGGTCAAATGGTGTGTTGTGGTTTCAATTCTCTTATGAAATTATAGTGAAATGATAGCTCTTTGTTCGCCGATAAACAACTGAAACTAGGACCTCCTCATCGACTACAACAATTATCTGCGCGCGTTCCCCAAGATCACCTAGAAGCTAAAAATTAAGGTCTATTCCACTCAAATGTGATAATTAGCCAATCAATCAATCAATCAATCAATCAATCAATCAATCAATCAAATCAAATCAAATCCAAGATCCCAGATATGAGGGGCAAGTTCACTTCGACCATATGTCAACACATCCAGCTGATCTGAGAAGTATTGCTATCCAATCAGAGTCAAGAAAATTTGCAAAACTCAGGTGTCACTTTTCCTCTTGAAATTATAGGTTTCCAGCAGGAAACTGTACTGAAGGTAAATTTGATTAACTTATTAAAGGAGAGTAATCGCTAACGAAGCGACGCCGGCGCTGCTTGGCACGGATAGTGCAGCGATAAATACTCAGAGCGTACGTACAGCTGATTCAAACCAGAAAGACCGTTGGTGGACGTGGTAAATATATTCATATCCTACGGCTGATTCAAACCAGAAAGACCATTGGATGGAAAGATAAGTGAACACTAATTAGTTACCATTTGCAAACAAACATATATCAATTCAATTAGAAATCTACGAATAACTGAAACAATCACACATATTCGAAACCCAATCCGTCTGTCCTGGCGCCCTTGAACCAATGTATGGAAAATCTTCACCTCAGTTTTGCAGTGACGTCATTTCTACGTCACTATTTCAGATCAACTGGCAGAATCTCCCTCGATCGTTATTTCACTTACCAGGTGTCGGTGCAGGTCCGTCCGATGACGTACATCGATTGGGTGATAAGCTGGCGTATTGCTTTGCCTTACTACAGCCCCCACTGGTACACACTTTTACAGTAAACTCGTAGCTTTTATTCATTCCTAATCCTGTAACAAGTAGTTGATGTAAACCAGCGGGAACATTTCTTGTGGCTCTTATCGAGGTTTTCGTTATTTGGTATTCTACGATATAATATCGTACTTTACCAAACAAGGTAGCTTTGTTAGGAACCTATTAATGGAATCAAAAGTTGTTCTAATAATTAGGCGTTTGAAAAACTATTTTTCTAAGGAAAGAGAGGGCATTAGTTTTATTTTTTTCAGGTGGATTTTAGCCAGTAGTTTTTGTGACCACGATTCTAATTTAACTTGCCACCTTAAATAAAATCAAGGACTCTTATCTTTTTCAAATTGTTATTATACCCTGTATTCAAAAGTTCATCTGCTGGTTCGTTTTGAGGATATATTAATTTTCATTGAGAGATTTAACCAGGACCATACTTTCAGACATCGAGTGCTGAACCGTCGTATGACTTACGGCTACGCTGGAGATTTCGACCCCAACACCGCTATCCCGGGAGGATTTATAAACTGATCAGAAAGCTCGGCAAAAGCCTAAGGGAGAGGTTAGTCGAGCCCTAGACCGTCTTACTATGACCAACAGACCTAGCATATGGCCTGTGTCACTGAGGACTTAGTATCCATGTTTCTCCCTTCCCATGTGGGACCGATGGGCTTTTTTAAAGGACACGCTGGATCTTTTAAACAACTATCGAAGACTGCGCCAACGCTTGAATATGATTATCAGTGACAGGTACTTGTGATAATGAGGCAACTTTTCTAGTAGTCTAGAGGGTCCTTGTTTTATTTATCCACTTTCTAATTGAAACCGCCACCCCTGTACCCCGGGACAGGGTGGGGAAACTATCATTCATGTAATGTTGGATTTAGCACTTTCCCGCGCCGGTTCTCGATCGGAAAAGATTTTGCTGTTAAAATTATAAAAGTTGTTGCAGTTAAACTTGTTAAGCTGTTGATCGAAGTACGTGTTTTAAAAATTTCCCGTATCCCAGGTCCCGCTGCGTTAATAGCGACCTTAAGCTTTTCAAAACCTACGACGCGACGTCAAACGGAAGTGTAAATGATTTTTTTGGGGGGTTCTGTTCATTGAATGATTTCATTCAAAACATTGTCAGTAAAGTTAACTCATCCACAGGGAAGACAGACTTCGAGGGCGCGAAACCTTAAAGTGAAGTTATTTACACTTCCAGTTGACGTAGCCGTCGTAGATTTTGAAAAACGTAATGTCGCTATTCCCCGCCCTGTCCGCGGGGGTCGGTAGGGGGTTCCGTGTGGCTAGCTAGTGCATTATAAATATAGCCTTACCTTCCATGAGATGAGAGCTGTACCATTTGAGTCAGCGCACTCTGATTGCCATCTTATTGTCACTATTGTTGGGGCCTCCCTCGGAACTAGAAGATGACAATGAAATGATTCGTAATTTATATCAAAGGCGTTATTGGCTGAGGATGTGTTGACACAATAACACAGGGAGCCCAACAAAAGAAATCTACAGACCTTAAAATAACCCCTTTTATCATATTGTCCATATAAAATACCTATATTTCTCCTTTTCGAAAAACGGATATTTTCACATGTTATTTTTACATGTGAAAATATCGTTTCCATGTGTATTTAAGCTAATAGTTTATAAATCAAAACTTTTCATAATAATAAAAAGCTTATTAAGTTGATTTTATGGATAATTACATAATAAACAGAATATTACATATGGGCGCTTGGAGATACGAAAGTTATCTTTTCCTGTTGAAAATCTCTTTTCAACGCTCGAAGATAAATTTTGTATCTCCGCGCGCCCATGTAATATCCTCTATTTATTATATGACCGTGAATCTTAGAGCACTAGCAAATCGACACTAGCAAATCGAGCAATCTGATTGGATAGATCGCATCGCGGACTGGTCTAGATTCTCCGGTATTAACCGGTCCGATCGCATATTAATCTTACGGCGAAAACATTTTGTCCTTTTCAATGAAAAGTGGTCATATAATAAAACTCTTATCAACCGAGCTTGGTCGGTCTGTACGGGATAATCTTGACCTCGGTCAAGATTATCCCGTACAGACCTCCCGCTCGGTTAATAAGATCTAAATTTAATTCATTACATCATTGGAATCATAGCGGTAGAGTACTCTAACCTCTAGACTTGGGATCTCGGGTTCGATTCCTTCCTGGATTATCAACATCAAGAGCAGAGTTCCTTAGGTCTCTCCCTTGAATCAAGGGTTCTTCCGGATTCTACAGTTTTCCTCTCTTCTTAAATGCACCAGCTCCACATTCAATGCATACCGCTGTTTTGAAGACTACAGACTCATTTGCACAGGCTTAGCCTCGTTTATAAGTCAGTTATTCACAGATACCATTAAAAGTCTGTGGGATTTCAAAACATTGGTATTGTTCACAAAGCTGAACATTCTTTACATTAAAGTTGACATTTGTATAAATGATTTACTCTTAAGCGAGGCTAAGCTTGCGGAGATGAGTCTTCATTCTTTAAACACAGCGGTATTTACGGAATGAGAAAAGGGAATATTCTAACATGCTATTAAATTCCAATTCGATCTGTGTGAGTATAGCCGTATACACTGACTTAAATCAGCCCAGAGGTACGATTATTTCAGGGTTCGATCCCTCGTTCGATCTGTGAGTTAGCCGTGCCCTAAACTAGAACAGCCAAGATATTGTTTCAAAGTGCAAGGGAGTCTGGTAGTAGAGGTCAATGACGCCATCATGCAAACGTCCTATTGTTTTGTCTCCCAGAACAATTCCTCTAGGGACTCGGTGCAAGTGGTCTTCATAAAAGCAAATGAGAACAAATATTCAACAAATATTCCAGTTTTTCCCTAGGAAAAGATAATGCGTGTTTACCCACCTCCTTCCTTGGTTTGTACTGAAATAGATACACGTTCTCCAAAGTCTTCGAGATGCATGAAAAAAGAACAACTAGCAAAGACAGTGTAGTTTTTGTATTCGATGAGTTTGCTAATGGTGTGGTTCAAACCGGAAACGACTCTAACGTCAGATTTCTGAAAGGAAAAAAAAAAAAAAAAAAAAAAAAAAAAAAAAAAAAAATTAAAAAAAAAAAAAAAAAAAAAAAAAAAAAAAAGACATAATGGAATTTATTTTAACTTATAAAAAACCCGCCAAATTCCCCTAATAGGAATTTAAAAGAATTTGGTACAGCCCCAAAGATTCATTATTTTTAATTCAGAAACTTAATGCATTTAGGCTCAGGTCAAACGTCGAACTTCACATAAACTTATTTCGAACAATTAAGTTCGGCTTATGTGACGTTTGACCCAAGCCTTACAGTCAATGCTCACGGACACCTCGCTATTGCGGACAGGAGCTCACACCAAGCGCCTTCTCCGGGTTCACAGATTTTCCTTCCCTCCCGCAAAACCTAACACGATAAATTCCAATTTCGACTATGGGTTTCCCCTGCCCATCCAGTGGTTGTATCATGGGTTAAATTTGTGAGTTAGCCGCATGCCATGCAGAATTTGATCAGCCCAGTGGTTGTTTCAGGGTTCAATCTGTGAGTCACCCGTGCCCTGAATTTAATCAGCCCAGTGGTTATTTCAGGGTTCGATCTGCGAGTTAGCCGTGCCCTCACTTAGATCAGCCCAGAGGTTGTTTCAGGGTTCAATCTGTGAGTTAGCCATACCCTGACTTAGATCCGCCCAGAGGTTGTTTCAGGGTTCGATCTGCGAGTTAGCCGTGCCCTCACTTAGATCAGCCCAGAGGTTGTTTCAGGGTTCGATCTGCGAGTTAGCCGTGCCCTCACTTAGAACAACCCAGAGGTTGTTTTGAAAATTCAGGATAGGGATAAAATTAGGAATGATGATTGAGGAAATATCACATTTTTGAACGTACTCCAGAAATCAAAACAATAATTTTGGTTGTAACACTAGAAAGATAATATAACCTTTGTGGACATTACCACTATATAATCCCCACACGATGGTTCGCACTGAATCAAGTAATACGAGTTCCTATAAAATTGCGTGCTGTTTCTAAGGCACCATGGTAGGCCCCACGCTACAGTGAAGTTATTCCGTCCAATATTTATAGCCCTCAAGTCGGCGATCTTACCACATTTTTCTGAAAATAAAAAATAGAAAATCAATATTTAGAAAGTGAAAAAGAAAGAAAAAAAAAATCAATATTTAGAAAGTAAAAAAAGAAAGAAAGCAAGCAAGCAAGCAAGCAAGCAAGCAAGAAAGCAATTACAAAAGGACTTACCAACCAATTTTGTCAATTTCGTTTGGCTAAATCTTGTCCCAAATGCATTTGTTGCTCTGACACTTGTACACAGTAGCTTACAATCTATCAGACTGTAGTCGTCATTGCAAATAGGAAAATCAGGAACCTTTTCCATGACAATCTGTACAACGTTTACTTCAAATGAATCATTTTTTGGTCCATAAATTATTCGTTTACTTTCTTCCACCACCTCAAAGTCATTGCCTACCCTCAAGCAGGGGTTCGTCGTGGAAATAGGAGATACGATGAGTTCAACGATGACTGGATAATGCGTCGACTTCGACGTAAGACTTGGGTATTGGTACGAGAAGATAACTACGGTAGGAGGATAGCCACAAATACGTTTCAATGTTGGAGGCGGGGGCTTCGCTGGTGGATCTGTTGGGAAAAGCAAATATGTAGAGATAAACTTCATATCTTCAAGCCAACGTGTAATTTTCTTTTTATTTGGGACTTTACAGTAAGATTTTCGAAATCTGCGACGGCGACGTCTACCGGAAGTGTGACACGGTGTGACAAGTGTACGGACACGGTGCAACATTGCGCGCAATATTGCATGCAATTGATGTTGCGAGCCATGACACACGACGTAATTTGTTGCACGCAACCTCGCTGAAGTAGAAAACTATCCTACTTTAGCAACACTGCATGTAATGTTGTGCGCAATGTTGCATGCAATTGATGTTGCGAGCCATGACACACGACGTAATTTGTTGCACGCAGCGTCGCTGAAGTAGAAAACTATCCTACTTTAGCAACACTGCCTGCAATGTTGCGCGCAATGTTGCACCGTATGTGCGTGCCTTTAAGGAACGATGAAAAACTTACCTCCAACGTTTACTGTGATATTTGTCTGTGCTACTACTAAACCAGTAGTTTGATTGACAGCTTGGCAATAGTAAACACTCTCATTTGAATAGTTTAATTTAGGAAATACCAAGCTAGTAAAACTTCCGTTACTTGTTGTGCTGTACACCTCGTTGTTCTTGGGACTTGTCCACTGCAACGTGATTAAGTCGTCGTTTCCTTTTTGGGTACAATCCAGAACCAACTCTGTGTTGACGGCAGCGTATACAGGAGAAGGTGGAGATGTCTTTAAAACTTCAAAAATAAAGTTATACTTGGTTTAATAATAAAATAATAACACTAAATTGATAACACTCGTTTTCTCACTGGATTCCAGATGAAGATGACTTCCGCTTAGGTTGTCGAAACGTCAGTCACCACCAACAACAGTCTTTCTCAAGACTACACTCACCCGGATGATCACATTTCACAACAAACTGTCAGTCACCACTAACAACAGTCTTTCTCAAGACTACACTCACCCGGATGATCACATTTCACAACAAACTGTCAGTCACCACCAACAACAGTCTTTCTCAAGACTACACTCACCCGGATGATCACATTTCACAACAAACTTCAACACCTGGGTTCAAACCATTTACTCTTATAATTACTCAATTAATTGTAAATAATATTCAAGGGATTGCCTGGAAAACCGCGGTGCGTAAGGAGAAAAAAACTTAATTAAAGTAGATAATATAAAGAAAGCTTAGACTTGCCCAAAGTCGATTTTTCTTGTTTACTACAGGAGTTTTTATAATCCGAGGGAAACGAGAATTTGACGCAGCAATAAAGATACACATAGAGCCGCGTAGCTGGCTACGCCTCTACTCCATATCTAGTTTCCATATTTTACGTTGTTCCATGAGTCGGGACAGTATGATAACCATGTGTAACTAAAACATTCTTCATACCTATTCATGATTGGAGTTCTAGTTGCTGCCATTCCCATGACTTAAATATAACTTAATTATTTCTACTCTGTGTCTGCGAGCTTCACATTGAAATTTGGTTTTTGGCTGCCGTCAATCAAAGGCCTAATCAGTCGGTAACTTCCATATTTTTGACTAGCGGCAGCGAAAAACCACGTGCAACTCGGTGCCACAGAGTTCGCATGTTTCTGAAAGTTGCCCTATTTCACTATGACGTCACTGCTCGTTTATGTGGGGGATAAAGTTGCCAAATCCAATAGAAAATTCAACAAAATTTGCTCCTAGCGAAACAGTTTAATCTAAAATGGCCTGGTTTTCAGATATAATATGTGTTTATGTACTAAAAAATATTCTAAGCGTTTGCTGGCTATTTTACTTCTCTTCGTGGATTGATACGGGTTTTAGAACAATTTTCGGTGAATTTGCGTTGATTTGAGCCCCTCCGACGACCATGATCCTTTGCGTTTAAACAATAGATTGTTTTGTTGTGACGTCATAGTGAAATAGGGCAATTGCAGGAATGGAATGGAATGGAATGGAATGGAATGGAATGGAATGGAATGGAATGGAATGGAACGAAACTCAATTTCGCGCGCCAAAACCCACTACCCCCGGCCCTCCCCATCATCACCTCTACTCTTGGACTCTCAACAAAAGCCATAGCCACCACTTGGACATTGTTCCGGTTTTTCAAAAAAGATGGTCCTGTTTTTTAATAATGTACTCGATGTGTAATAAATGTTTTTATGAGGGGGAGAATGGTTCTGAAGGTAAAAAGGGGTGCGGTAAACACCGGACCAACAGTATTGGTAGCTATTGCGCCTTTCTAATTGTAATATACAATGAGTTTTTGAAGAGTCTAGCTCCGCTCAATAATACGCATTAACTGCGTTATTTTTCAAAACATTTCTTTGTTATTTTTACTATCTAGTTATTCAGAAAATAGGAAATCAAAAGCACGCAAGGCCGGAGCTCACGTTACAAGTTTCTCATATTACCTGACCTCACGCTTTGAGAATAATAAGCATTTTCCCCCTAATATTTTAACGCTTTGAAATCGTATTTTAAGGTAAAATTTTCTTAGAAATCAGAAGCAGGGATAAACCTTGATTATCAAACTTGCATCTGTACCTATTTTTGCAGTTTTGGGTAAAAAAATCAACTAGAAAAAAGGGAAGATCAGTCAAAGCGTCTCAACCGGAACTTAATGCTAAAATTCCTGTTTAGAATGCAGTTATTTTCTTCGAATTATTCGAATTAAATAAGTCTAATTTATGTTAAGCCCATTTACTGAGTTTGTTTATGCTGTAATCTCAAACTGACTGCAATTTTGCTGGTTATTTATATTGCCAAAACTCCAGTAATTGTTCTTACGAACAACACGTTCTCAGTCGTCAGGGCCGCGTTCAGTGGCACAGGCTCCGTCATCCCGTACGAGCATTTTCAAGAAAAACCGACAAATATACGCAAAATATTTATCGAACGACACTTGTGCAAACTTACCTAGGTTTAGTGCAGAATTGAGACATAATTGATAATAAATTAATACGAATAATAGAGGAATTCCTTTTAGATCCATCGGAGAAATTAAAACGGCTAAGATATCGGTGAATGTCACGCCATGACACGCATTACTTAAGAGATTGAATGAAAGCTATTCATTTACAACACATGTGATAACAATAACATGTCATAACCTATAAATAATTACTTAGCCAAACCGATATAGTTACATTAAATTTATATCAGCAAAAAAGGGTTTTTAAACAAAATTAGTCCGATAGGAAACCCAGCACAAGGATACTTATTTCTTTCTTCAAGAGCAGCATTAAAAAGAAATTGAAAGTTTTGAGAAAATAAGCTCGCAAAAAATGAAAGGATTATGGGGATATTTTTAACTCAACCGAACGGAAAGTGAAAGAACAGGAATTAGAATTTCGACAACATGACTCACGAGGCAGTAAATGTAAAAATATTTTTTTTACAGCAATGCGTAGAAGAAAACGTGCTTTGAAAATACAAAAATCATCAGAGAAAAATCGAAAATTAGAAGATCGAAAAATCGAGACATAATTGATTAAAAAGCTAACAACTCATTAGATTTTACGGAAGAATAGTAATTGGGTAGCCTGTGTAAAGTAGTAAAATTCCTCTCTGGGGAGTAGAGGGGGAAGGTAGCTAGACCCCTACTGTGCAAGGGAGGGAGGGGTCGTGTAAGCTTAAATAGTACCCCGGGCAAGAATAACGATGTCAAGATGAAGTATGTGGACTCGATAAATCTGTTATTATTAATAGCAATCTTTTATTCTACATCAGCAAACAGTAAGTAAAGACTCATTAATACTATAATGTGCAATTCTTAGTTAAAATTTAAGCTTAAAAGCTGGAATTTGAACAGTCAACAAGAAAGCCAAACACCTTTGGTGACAAATATGCCAAACTTTTTCCTCTTTCAAATTCCTTTTCTTCAACTTAAAAACCCTTCGTTGCTTTCCTTAGGTTTATTTATTCTTAAAAAATACTTGTTAAACTTTTGTGTAGGTTAAATAGTAATAAAGGAGGCTTTGACCTCGGTTTTGAAACTCGATACGATGTTTTTGGAGTTTGTGGTATTTTGGTTCGCGTTTCCTGTTGGATTTAGTAATAACAATTTTATGGAGAAAAAAGCTAACTCTAACTGCTAAATGTTATGCAATGTTATTTCCCCAAGTTCGATAGAGATATTTTTGGTTCAAAAGTAAGTTTAATAATTAATATACCCTAGTCATAAGCTTCATTTATATGTTATGTTTATAATAGATATTTTAGCTCGTACATTATATCATTCCAAGCATAATTCTAGGGAAATTAAATTTGCTGTGTCAGTGATAAATATAATATATTAGTAATAAAACTAATAAGATAAATAGATAAATGTGCAAATGAATCTTTTTCTCTTTCAGTGATATTACTGAAACCGTTAGCTTTGTCTGTTTATAAATCGTCTTTTAAACACAATTCTGACACATGTATGCATTAATTATTTGATCCTTATCTATCTCTAACGTATGCATAATTTATAATTTTAATCAACTGGTCTCTCTCTATTATTTATACATAATAACCCGATTCAGTAGCACCTGGACCTTAATTTGAAGTTTCTTAACATTATTTTGAATGCAAGAGTGATGGAAGGAAAAATCATTCCTTTTTTTAATGAAAGTTATGGCAATTCTTTTAAATCAATTATCTCCACATTAAAAATTTTGAGAAGGGTCTGTTTGGTTTTGAAATCACTGCAATTATGCTTACTTAAAGACTATGTTGATGACTCTTAAAACTCCAGTGCATGCAGCAGGCTGAGCCTCAAATCGAGGGGTCCCCTCAACTGACCACATTGGTTTATAAGTACATTATAAAAAAATTATAAGGATAACTGTCATCTGCTGTCATGGGTTCAATTCCAGGTATTAACCCATCAAGTATATGTGCAGAGTTGATTTTTAGTTTTTGGTTGCTTTATATTTATCTGGGAACTCTCCATTTATGTTACCTCCTAACGAACAAACAAGCAATTATACCAACCAACAAACCAACCAACCAACAAACAAACCAACAAACAAACAAACAAACAAACCAACAAAGCAAGAAAACAACAAACCAACAATCCAACAAAACAACAAACCAACCAACAAACCAAAAAAAAACAACAAAAAAACAAAACATTAAGTTAACACTGAAAGAATTTAAGAGCTGTTTTAAAGATAGACTTATTTATAATTATAATTTAGCAACCTAGTTTTAATTTTATATTTATTTATTGTAATTTTTATTGTATATACTTTTTCCCTCTTATTTCTCATATATCATAGAGTGCAGACAATATAACCGTGAAACTTTAGTAATACTAAATAGCACAATTTCATGCAAATTCCATTGTTTTCTATTGTTTAATTAGCACTATTTTGTACTATTTACAAATTACTGTTTCACAGATTAATTGTTTGCACTCTATTAAAGACTAGTATTATTTTTATATTTGTTAAAGAGCAAAAACTACTTTTCATTTCTTTTATTTATGACAGGTACTTGCTCATTTGATAACAAAATAACACCCAATGTGATAGCATTTGGAAGACCAATTGGATCAATAAAGGTAACATGGCCTTCAGTAAATTCTTCTGGACGACCAGTCTCATACAAAGTATACTACAACAAGACCTCCATGATGAACCATTGTCAATATCCCACCACTGATGCATTCTATACTGCAAAACACTGTAGTCAGAACTCTACACGGAAAGGAATTCATCATGAGTGTGATTTGACTGAGGATTACAAGATGCTTAACATGGATATGAGAACAGACAGCCTGTGCATCCTGATAAGCATTAATTCAGCATCGTCAAATGAAACTTGTTACAGTTTTTTCAAGGAGTATGATTCATATTCGACGGAACGTAAGTTTTTTTAATTAATATTCTTTTCATGATTACGATATTATTTTTTATAGTAATTTTTAAAAAAATTAAATTTTGGTGGCCCGTTAGTTTGAAATAGCCTTTTTAGCTTGATATGCAAATTGCCCATTCCAGATCACGTGACTTTCCCTTGAGAATTGTTCTTTTATGGCGAACATGTTAACCTAAAATATTCTACACATGAATTTGAACCATTTCCCAAGAATAACATCACATGGTCTGAATTGTGCACAACAATCAAACAACGATCAATAAGCTAAAAAGGTCTATCCTGGCTTTAAGAGGGATGGGGTCACATAACCTATTAGTAATAATAATAATAATAATAATAATAATAATAATAATAAATCCTTTATTCAAGGAGAGTGGCACTAAATAGCAAAAAACTATGCTTAATAAACCTGTGGCCCGCGCTAAAACTGCCAAGAGATTAGGGAAAGTATCCGTTGTATTGTTTCTCCATGCTATTATTGCTACATGTATATCTTGCACTAAGATGTGTTGTCTTCTCATTATTTTAGCTATCTGTCCTGCCCCAGAGGATCTTCAGGTGCATTCAAGTAAGACAGGAAAGTTAACAGTAAATTGGAATGTGTCACCTAAATTTGTTGGTGATGCCACCTTAAAAGAAATGTCATTTATTATACATGCTAAACCAGTAGGAAAATCAACTATGTGTACAGCAATAGAGGTATGCAGTAGAAAAAAAAAAATTATTATATAAGTTAATAGAGCGCATGCAGTAAAACCATGAAATAAAAACAAAAAGTTGATACTGACAAATAGTATCTATTTAGTGACTAAATAGTTGCTAGCACTCAACCAGAACATTTATTAAGCAAAAGACACAAATGGTCTCTTGTGTATTTGTCTTTGTATAATGAATGTTCTGGTTGAGTGATAGCAGCTATTAGTCACTAAATAGATACTATTTGTCAGTATCAACTTTCATAATAATTTGTCTTATCAACCATAGATTTAATACATATGTTCCGAGCTTTCAGCCTACTCGGCTATCCTCAGGGAAATGAAAAACGTTACATATTGACAAAGAAAAACGCGATCAAACCATGGCATATGTGCGCGCGCATTAAATTAAACAAATTCGTGTGCGCTTAGGAAAAAATAAATAAAACAAATTAATTAATTAAAATAAATAAATAAATAGATGAATAAAAATAATAATAAATAGATAAATATATGAATAATAA